CATATGTGAAGTAATGAAGTGTGACGTATCTTGAGTATTGTGATAAGTAGATACGCCTGCTGCTGGAACTTCGGGTCTCTTACAACTAACAATAAAGTTGAAATTCTGAATATCAAATGGTTCTTCGTTTTTCATACGCATTTCTGACAAAAGCAGAACATTTGACTTTTTTACGATAGCATCATTTTTAGTTCAGCTGCATACACAGGCAAACTTTGACAATTGAATGAAATTATCAGTAATCCTTTCTGGTTGGAGATGAATTCTAGAAAAGTTTTGGTGACCATTTGCAGTGTATTGTTTTGTAACCTTTTCAATTCTAACGTTAGATCCTCTCGATGACTTTTTGATCTTTTATGATGTTTATCTGTTTCTGAAGCATTTAGAGGTGTTCCTGTTCTTCCAATCCAAAATTTCCGGCTGTTGCTAATATTTTCTTGAGTAACCAAAAATAAACCTTGGATCCTCGTTACTCTTGTTAAAGCTATGTATACTAATTCTCTAGGATGTTTGTTATCGTATTCGTAGACAATAGCATCATAAGTACCTCCCTTCGATTCGTGAATAGTCATTGCTAAAGCAGAAATAATTGGAAAATAATTTCGTTTCGCTATTATAGTTTTATTGTTATTGAGTGGTATGGATGAGATGTCTGAGGAGTGACTGGCACAACATCATCGTCAAGATTAAGGCGGACACTAAGATTCCTCGAATATGTAGCTCGTTTTCGTCCACATAGTTTTGGAAATTTCATCCAAATTCTTATATATGATGTCATGATTTTCATCTCTCTCTACGTAACACAATTTTCCAACAGAGCTATTTGAAAATCCGTCTGTAACATCTATGTTGTTTGTTGTCATGTAAGGTCGGTTGAGAACTAAAATTAACTCATAAGGCAATCCACCAGTGTTATCAGCTCTCATTTTATGCAACTTTTGTCTAACAAAATTTTCTTGCTCAGCATTATGACACTCTACGAAAATATCAGAAGCCAAAGATATTATTTTATTTTCTTCACTATTTGAAATAGAATGGTTGCACTCATTTACCGCGGCGTTTGTAAATATAAGTCTAATTCCTTCAGGACATACTGATTGAGCTTCTTTTGTAATAAATATTGATTCTATTGCCTGTATTTCTTCTTCCGGTAAAATATTTCCATTTCCAATCAAAAATACCATTATTGTATTTTTTAATATCGAAATATAAATGCAAAATTTTAATTTCTCACAAATTTGACTTCTAAAAATTCCAAAACTTATATTTATCCGTTACCTTATACAGTTATATGTTTCTTATTTTGTAAAACTGGTGGTAAGTTTTAAATAATTATTTTTTAAAAAAAATCAAGAAACTATTAAATATTCAGAAAATTTATTTTCATAATATATTTTTTAATTCGCCACAAAATTACTCGGTAAGTTGGCGAATTACGAGTTCCGTTGCCAATAGCTTTGTAGCGCGATAATTCTCAATCACTCACTCGGAAAGTTGGCTTTCGAACTACACTGCGATTTGCGAGGAGAAACAACCTTAACAGCATAAAGAGTCATGAGCATGTCGGTGACGCCAACCCATAAGGATTTCCCCTACCAAAAAATGTCCAATGCGGCTAAAGAAGTTTCCCTTTCAAAAACCAAACATTTAATTGGAAGGGTGTTTTACAATCTGTTGGATATGATTTCTCTGGTAACAAAGTTTCAACTTAACTACGTCTAACTACACTTGATTTAAATCGCTTCACAAAAAAATGTTTCATCACTCAAAATCACCTTTTTCCAGTCGTTAACAGTCATTGTTTAGTATGTTTTGGCCCATGGTAAACGTTTTCCTTGATCTTCTGAGTTAGAGATAGTTTTTTCCCTCTTTCTTGTTGCCCTAAGGCCACCTTCCAGAAGCTTTTTCCATGCAGTTGAGGTATTCACTTCAACACCAGTACCCAATAAATCCCTTCAAAAGTCTATCTTTGTCTTTTTTTTATTTATTTTGCTACTTTTTTTTGTTATTTTATCAAGTCTTGGAATAGTTTTCCACTTGCACCCACATTTTTCTTTTCTTTTTGGAGATGATGATCCAGAATTTTGAAATGTTCTTAAAACACATAATTCGATCACACCAACTGAAATAGGTATATCTCGCACAGTCATAGAAGTTTGTTGTTCGAGAGCGATTTATTTTACAGTGGCTGCTCGGAGTAATATCCATCTTTGAATAAGTAAAATTAACTCGTCTTATACAGAACGCAAAATTGAAAGTACCAGCTACCCCACTGAAAGACTTACAACTGAGCTCTTGCTACCTTAAAATGAATAAATTATAGTCCAAGTCGATCTGTCACGCTACCTAAAGGCAGATATAACAGGTTTGACATGGTTCGGTGCATCACTAGAAATCACATACCAACTCAAACAAGAAAAACATGTTTGTCCCAATTAATTAGAACAGTGTAGTATATATATATATATATACACTATACTATCGTAGTACTGAAATATATATATATAATGTTATTACTATTTATAACTATAATTTTATTAAAGTTATATGAATAAAGGTATTCAAAATAGTAAGAATTAAAAATTCTTAGATTATAATAATAGTTTATTACTATAAATTTACATATTTCCTAGTTATAGTTACCTCCATATTCTAATATTAGATAAAATTACTTATTATTATTTTATTCATATACACTTTTGTATCGCTAAAGTTATGGTAATATGTAACTCTCTTATTAGTTTTTATTTCTATTCCTTTTATGCTTTTGTTTAGTGCTACATTTCAGCCATTCACATGCTTAGAATCTGCATTAGGGTCAAGAATCGGTCAATAACTTATTTATGGCACTTAGATTTAAGCGGGATCTGCATTTTTAAGTGCAATTTTTAGGTATGTTACCTCTATCTTGTAATGGATTTAGATATTTCTATCCATTACTTTCAACAGGTTTTTGCTCAGTATTATTTAAATAAAGGGGGAAAGTTGGCTGGCCAAAAAACATGTTCAACCCCACTTTTATATAAAATATTTTATATATTATCTGTCCTAAGTCAGCAATGTTTATAATACTGCAGCATTACTGAGATAGAAGAGTCTTGTCCACTTGTACAATTGGCAAAGTGTGAGAGTTAATGTTGGAGTGTCAATACTCACCAAGTGAAAACAACTTTCCACATCGCATCAAATTCATCTGCAGTGGATTCCCTCTCACACAGATCTAGAGGAAAATGAGATTGTGCACACTATGGACAAGACTGGCGCTTGCGAGGTACCAGAGCCATCAGCACCCCTCACCTTTTTGGAGATTTTCTCTAGAACAAAATACCGGAATAAGACAACTTGGATTACCCCCCAGAGCACCATTGGTATCAGGGTTCTCGTCCTGAAGGCTCTCTGGCTCACGGTTTTACAAGACAGGATCAAACTCTTCTAGCCCGCTTTCGAAGTGGTCATATCAAAACAATAAAATTTTCCGAAGGATGCAAGAGCTTTGTAATGTGCACGAACTGTTCTTCTCAGCCGGCCTCGCCTGCGCACATCCTCGAATGCCTAGGGCTCACCAAGCAGGATTTAGAAGACGATCCCTTGCTGGTGTTGATATCTTGCTGGTTGTCTGAAAGTGTACGATGTCATGGACCTGGTCTAGGACTGCTGACCAATGGGGGCGTGCAACAACAACAGTACTGCAGCATACATTTTATAATTTTTAATCTCTGTTGTTCATGTGACCTTCATCGTCGGATTTTCCTTCTCTCTATGTGTTTTTCGAATGTGATTGATTTATGTTTATCTCTTGTTTGTAAAGAATTATATATATATATATATATATATATATATATATACTACACAGACTATATCAAAATTGTAAAAAAAGCACACACTCATTAATGTGTAGAGCTTGAGAACTGCCATTGGGGGTAATTGTTTAAATGTTTTGCTATAGCTTCTACAAAAATAGTATAAACGTGGAATGCGTTCTGGTCGCGAACTTGTTAGCAAAACTTTCGAGCCACGGGTCCACAAGACTAAGTGCCACTGAAGACCCTCTACTTAGAGGAACTCATACACTTTAAATCTGTCAAGCTTTAAAGTCAATCCGTTCGCGTGGTGTGAAATTCTGGAGATAAAGTTGAGAACTCAGGCCTCGTCCTAGTCTCACTTGAACTTGGTTCAAAATTACTAAGTCCTTCACCAATAGCTTTCGAGTCGCTTTAAATGAGACATTAAGGTATCCGACTACGTTCGGAACCGTGCTTTTGCCAAAGCGTATAAATGGATAATATTTATGATATTTGGTGTCACTTAGATTAGAAAATGTATATAAAATTGTTTTAAGAATAGTATTATAATAAAAAATTATTTAAGTACAATATGTGGACAAAAAATGAACATAGAATGACCCATTTTCAAAATATTCTCCTTTTGGGAAAAATGCTTCTATTATGATAATTTTTGCCTGTGTATAGCTAAAACTCTGTACAGAGGTTCAATTAGAATTTTTGAAATATGTAACTTAGAAGTGGGTTTATCCATATTTTACCACAACAGAGGGGAGAAATTTTAAGAAAAAAACGCCGATAAATTAATGTGAAATTTTCAAAAATCATAGTTGAGCCTCTGTACAGAGGTCTAAGCTATATACAAGCAAAATATTATTATATTAGAAGTATTTTTCACAAAAGGAAAACATTTTGAAAAAAGGTTATTCTAAGTTAATTTTTTGCCGAAATATTGTGTTTAAATATAATTTTTTTTTTTGTCAAAATGTTCTGAAAACAATTTTATACATGTATTGGAATCTGACACTAAATATCATGAAAATTATCCATTTATGCGCTTTTTTTAAAATCACGGTTCCGAACGTAGTCGGATACCTTAATAAACACTCACTCAGCAAGTATTTGGAAAGATTCAACGTGTGTTGACAACCACTATTTCTTAGGTAATGTTGAAGCCTTTTTATAAGTAGAAAGTTACAGGTGCTCTATGCCAAAATGAGCATCGGTGGTCCGATGTGCGGGCTTCAAACCCGTAGCTGACGAGAGTCAGAGTGGTTCGATTCCACACTAGGGAATGAGCAAATTCTTTAAGGATTTTTTTTTTTTATCTTATTCGTAAAACACAGAATGTTTCTGTTTTGCTTTGTGGAAAAAATAACTTTTTCTTTATGCCCATAAACTACGCGTCAACTTGTGTTAGATTCCTAAAAAGCCTTTTTTCCCCTGTCTGTTAATGATTATTCATTTCTATTATGATGCGTCAGGAATGTTCATTTTGTCTCGAAAGCTGAAAATATAAACAATTTTCAAAATTAAAATTAAATAATGCGACTCTCTTACACATTACTTATAAAGGGATAAAGTTTCAAAATAGCACAAAATGTTTAAAGTATAATCTTAATTTTAAAAAATACAAGCATATGAAATTAAGAAACATATCTGTAATAAATATTAAATAATTTAAATGTTGCTCGTGTGTTTTTCTGAAATAGTAGCTTTTGATGTATAAAACTTCGTAGAATTATAAAATGTATCATATTCTTTAAATCCTACTTAATTTTAGTATTATATATCTTTTTCACTTCAAAATATTTGAAAAATATCGAAATTTTTTAAAAAAAGTGTAATTTTTTATATTTTAAAAATGTAATTTGTTATTCTATTTATATATATATATATAAACAGTCACAGTGTAATAAGGATACACTTAACTTTGTAAATCAACTTATTGATGCTAATAATTAGAGCTAATATTTCAGAAAATATCATGCGCAACGTAAAACTTAATAAATCTCTTACAGAAAAAATGTGCCTTATTTTCATATGCTTATAATTATTTTTAAAGCCTTATTCCTTTGAAAATAATGTGCAAAAGATTCAAGCTATTTAGTTTTAATTTAAAAGAATTATATCTATTTGAAAACTGTTTGTATTTTGAGATCACGAGAAAAAGTTATCAATTCCTGAATCAGAATTATATTCGCACGGTTCAGCTACACGAAGGCTTTTAGCGACGGACCTCGTAATTTTGAACCATGGTCAAGTGTGACGAGGATGACATCTAAGCTGGCACCCCCCTCTCCTAACTACCACACCAATGGGAGGACGTTATAACATTTTTCTGTTTCGGTGATACTTCTTAAAGAAAAATATACTTGAAAAATTATTTAGAAAAATTCCCTTTTCTTATACTATATTTTTGAAACAATCTCCTTTTGTGAAAATAATTGCTCCGATATTTACCATAAATTCAATATTCTTTTATTACATCTGTACATTTAAATACATCCTACCACATTACTATACGATTTAATATTTTTTTAATTTAGTTATAATAATGTAACTAAATTATAAAACATTCAAAAATATTTTAAATTACCTTTAAATATTCTATCCTTAAACATATATATATAACATAAACATAAGTCTTCATTTAGAAATGTAATTTAGAATTTTTTTAAAAATCACTCGCGAAGTTAAGCCTTCTTAATAACACATAGAAATTAATTATCGTATCAAGTATTTAATATTAATACATCAAAGGATGTTTAATCTGTTAATATATCGGAGTATTTAATAGTACATTAATTTATATAAGTATTTAATTCCTTATTAAATAGCTATTTAATGTCGTATAAGGTTATAACAGTATTTTCAAATTAATATGCTTTACATGTCTCTTGTAATTCCAAATTTATAACTGATTCATCAATTTTCAATCCTATTTGTTGCTTTTTCTTCTACGCTGCTGAATTTTATGAATGTGAATTAATATTTATTTTTTCAAAATTCCAAGACTCCAAAGAGTTTTTAAAACGCAATTTCGATCTTTCTGCCCTTTGACATTTAAAGCTACACCTGCATCAAATCGAGTTCTTTAATACTATATTTACATATGCACTATTTTTTCAAAGAGATTTGCGCAAATGGGGAGTTAAATATTTATGTTTCGCAAAAACACTACCCAGACAATTTCTTTTTTTAATTTTTCGTACTTGCTTGTAACGTAACGTATACAATTAGATGCAAAATAAGGATACATTTGTTAGCAAAACTATTTGAGTATCCTAAATATAGGTACTAAGTTTATGAATGTATTTTTTTTCCTCATGTGATTCGCATTATATAAATCTCTCGCCTATTACGTAACACATTTACTGAAACTTTAGATAGTTATATTTAATTGCTGAATGCAATAAGACAAAATAAAGTAGCATTTGAAAGGAATTGTCAGAAATAATGAAATTTTCAGAGAATCACACAAATAATGTAGTGAATCGTAGAAATTCTTAATGAAACCTAGCGACTGTTACCCTACTTAAGTTTTAACAGGTAGTTCCTGTAGAATACCTGACATGAGTGGAGGAGTGATTTCTTGTGTCATTGCATACCATACATTCTTTATTAGCGATAGGTCTGATGAAAATGACGGTAATGGTTACTTATGGTCATGTTGTAAATGAGCTCTAGAGATGGCAGCAATACGTAGTCGAGTACTGTATTGTTGGATAGGTGAGGGAAACTAGTTCGAGATTGGAGTTGAAACGAGCTGGCAGAATCTCTTGAATGGAGTGCTGACCTATCAAAGGGAACACAAGGAGCACCAAAGGTGATTTATTAATACTCAATTGAAGCTCCACGCCGACACCAGACTCCCTAGATTTGTGACATAACTCAAAGAATTTTAGACCATGGCGCTGACCATGTTGTCTGTACTCATGGATTCGATTATCGTCTCCACCAAGGCAAAATTGGATTCGTCGATGAAGACAACTGGATATCATTCAATGATCTATCAATCAATTGTTTCGACAACAATCCAAATCTTTTGAGGTGAATTCAATGCTGAAAAAGACATACATCATGACGATCTATGAGTGTTTAGTTCCAGCAGTAGTGAAGAAGTTAATAAATGGTACATTTTCAGATGGATATCCGCGACATTAGCTGTTGGACCAGTGTATGCATGCCTCAACACAAGACGATTCTCCCTCGGTTCAGTTCGTCTAGGCTTTTCCGAAGCCGATTGAAGTTAAGATGTGCCTTGTATATATCTCTGTCGTATAGCATGTATTAGAAACATTACTGGCGCACACAATCAACATACTGCGCAATCCGTCCTTCCCACCAATCCCCTTCTAGGAACATAAGAATTCGACCTGTGTCAAACTCTTCCAGTTGCTCAAATTGTTTGCGAAATTTTCTCCGAGGCATAATCCATTAAGAAAAGATGTTACGAACACGATATCGTGAGTCAAAAGGAATTTTTTCTTCACTATTAATGTCCTATTTCCTCCACAATTCCTACATGTAATGTATTCAAAAGAAGGCCTGCGCGCGTGGCATGATCAAATTTACTTAAAATTTGATCGTTTACATCTTCGAAGAAGATGTACCATTTCTCCAAATTTCAATCATGGACGTGGTAGCCTAGTAGGTACAGTCACGAACTCATGCCCCTCAGGGGGCTCACCTTCTTTAGGTGGATAAGGGTGTCACAATCCCGAGGTACCCTCTAGTGATCTTTTCCTTTTCCCAAGGGGTTTACTATCTTTGGTAAACACGGGTGTCACGACACCGGGGTACCCCAATGATACCCTTCTCTAGTTTCGACCCTCCATCTTGTCATCCAATTTCTCCTTCTCTTCTTTTCCTGTCCAGACCACAGACCTATGAATGTTTGGCGCAGTATAGCGAAAACTGACTCTTTTTTGCGCCATAAAATACCAAACTCAAATCAACACGAACTCGTGAACAGAGTGTTTTAGGTTCGAGTCCTGTTGCCACTAAAAACCCACCATGGGGAGGGACTGGTACACATTAAATGTCGTGGCTGAAATTCCTCAAATTCGTCCCGTTGCGTGATATCCAGCGGGCAAAAAAGTAGCCAACTCAGGTATTTAT